AAGAGGTATAACAATTAAACCAATCATTAAACCGATGACAGATAATAATAACACTAGTTTTTCGTTGTTTATAAACCATCTCTTTTTACGCGTGTTGTATAACCCTTTTAATAATAAAAGGTTAGATTTAAGTATAACAATACTAACTGTTGTATAAATAATAGTGAGTAAAATACCATTTAATCCATCGAGAATCCAATTTAAAGTAGGCGGCAATGAAAGTCACTCTGATTTGTCATACTCAAATAAAAAATCAAGGCCTTATTACTTGGTTACTCATTTTGAACTTTTGTTGTAATAAATTTTCCATTTTTTTTTTTTTTTAATTTAAACAAACTAATATTGCATATATATAACAATTTTGTCAAAAAAATACTGTTTAGTATATCTCTTTATTTTTTCTTTTTTATTCAGAGTTTTCCAAGTTATTATCATTTTCTATTTTATTCAGAGATTTTCAAGTTATTATCATTTTCTATTTTAACGTAAAATCTATTAAATCTTTTTGTTGTTTTGAATTGAAAAATAATAAAAGTTTGCATAACTAATGTTAATTTTTTATTACAAACGATAAGCATCTGTAGGTGCTTGTTATTTACATTGCATTTGTAGAACATGCTATATTTTTAAAAATATTTATGCATATATCTTTTTTTATATATATCAATTAAACATATCTTCTATATCAAAGTTTGTTTTAATAGTTTTAATTGATACTATTTCTTTTGTTTTGTTTTTAACTCGTATTTCGAAGTGAAGTATTTAACAGGTGCTTTGGATGCAATATTATACTACTGTAATCTTTCTAGTTCATAATAATCACTTACATTACCACAATAATATTAGATTGCCACTTCCTCTTATATACCCATTGGGCATTTGTTTTTAAAAGTTACGTTCTAAATGTCTTTTAAACGTCTTCTAAACATTCTTACGTAAAGAATGTTTAAAATACGTTTAAAAAACGTTTAGAAGACATTTAGAACGTAACTCTTAAAAATAAATGCCCGTAGAATAGGCTTTTAAAATATAATATTCGCCATGTAGAAATGTAAAAGTTATTACGCATCAGTGTTTGACATTTAGAATACCACATCTAGCATGCCTATTGTCCTTTTATTATTATTTTTTTTTTTGTATGCATTTAGGTGCTCCCAGAAGTCCTTACGGTCTTATCATAGAGCACCGCGGGAGAGCATTTAACAAGAAGTTCACGCCTCCTTCCGTATCAAAGTCGCTTGTTGGGCTAGAGCTGGCGTCGAACCTTGAACCTCTGGGTTCTGAGCCAGAACTCTAACCACTGCGCCACGGCTGTTCTAATTTGCATTTGCATTTCTTACTATACGTTTTTTTTTTTTAATATTGCCAGAAAAATATTTGGAATAACTTGCGACTTGTTCTCGTTAATGTCAAAAATATCAACAGCCATTATATGATTTTGGTGCAAATTCTTTGTATCTATAGCATTTGTTGAACCTGCATGTCTTTTAGAGCTTGAATTAATTGAACTAATAAACTTAATTTAGTTAATGTATGATAAAGCGGGGCTAGTTAAAGGATAAAGCGGGGCTAGTTAAGCAATATTTATTAAATCTACCAAATCTTATGAACAGAGTGCGTCAGATTTACATAATTTTTTCAATATTTAAAAGATAATTTAACCTACTAAAAATTCGTTAAGAAAAAATTATAGTTTTTGATTTTATTGAGAAGATATTGCCTAAAGTTTGCGGAGCGGCTCATTCTGCCCCAGCGGCTTACAATGAGCAATAGTGTGTGGTAAGTTGAGAAACCATGAGTATGTACGGTACGAAACTTGGGTGAATCATCAATAAAACTTTCACTAGCAGTAAGCGTGTGTATAGTTTATAAAATTTTTATTTTATACACTTTAATGACGTAAGTAAAAAAAAAGAAAAAATTAAATAGTAAAAAAGTGTCATAAAATATAAAAACATAATTTTATACAGCTATCTTGAACTTTGAAGCCAGATTTAAAAATTACTAATTTTAAAAGTATATATAAGTATTGTACCGCTGTATTATTTTTCATCAAAGTTGTTTCTTTGTGTTCGATAGTTCAGTTTTATTTATTTTTCTCAAAGCTGCTAAACTTACCCCTACTAGACAAGGTGACACATTAGTTAAGTTTTAAAAAGAACAGTAAGACTTAAGAAAAAACAGTTAATTTTAATCAAAGTCCGATAAATTAGCAAATTATTAACACTTAAGTGATGGCAGATAAAAAGGTTTATAAGCATACAAGAGAAAAGTAGCAAAAAAAATTTTTTTTTACTTTTTTGGTCCAAAATAGAAAAAGTGTCCGTGTATCTTACTCAATAGCTTTTCAGCAATCTTTAGTTGCGCATTGTGTCAACATTCTGATTCCCTAACTTTCATCCATTAGATGTTTTGTCATGTGACTCGTAGTTTTTGAGATATTTTAACTGCCTAACTTGCCCCTATGCTAAACTAGCCCCGCTCTACCCTAATGATCATTTGGGTCGACAAAAGAATTTAAATAAAACTTTTAAACGCTTATAATAAAATCTATGATTGCTTTGTTGAAAAACAATTTATTTTACTCTAATCGATTTTTTTATACCATACTTCATAAATAAACACAATAAAGTTGCCTGGTTTTAACTTAAAACAATAAGTTAGTTTTAAAGCAAGCCAGTATATGGTTTTTAGAATTTTTTTTTTTTTTTGATAAATAATAATCCTGGCTTCTTTTTATGATGTTAGCTTGATTCAAATATATGGAATTTATCAAATCAAATCTCAAATCACTTTTCTGATTTGATTTGAAATTTTAAGTATTAGTAGTGTCCTCGTATATATATTTGGAATACATCTATAAATATAAAATTATGATAAAACATCAGGTCCCAGTAAAAACGCGACGTTTTAAAAGCGTCTTAAAGACCGGAAAAGACGTGTAGACATCTAAAAGAAATATTAAAGACCTTTTTTAGACGTATTTAAGGCGTCTAGTCTTAACTTGAATGACGGTTTAAAACTTTATCCCCTTTAAACTTATTTTTCAATATATAAAATATATGCATTTTTCAATTCGTAAAACAGATATTTTTTATATTTTAAAAGCAATATAAAAGACGTCTTTGTTTAACCCGTTTAATAATTCGTCTTTATTTAAACCTATTTTAGGCATCTATTGTTTACTTGGGAGTTTTTATTATGAAACAACATAAAAAAAACAAACTAGATTTATAATTGTTTCATTATTTGTTTTAAGATTTTTTTGTTTCCAGGTTCCCCAAAATCAGTTATAAAACTTATTATAAGTTCTAAACTGTTTGTGTGGCCTTGATGATATCAAAAAAATATTTTACACATCATTATATATTCGTTGAACTTTTAAAAAATATAAAGATTTTAATCTGCAAGTATATAGATTTCCATATATGGAAAACGGGGCACGGTCCCCAATTTTTTGTAGCGGATCATTGCAATTAATTTTTAACTACCTTCCAGACCAGCTGGATGAACGTGCATGTTAAAGTTATTTTCAGGGCCTAAGGCATTAGGGGGGACTGGCTCATGGGCCCCACTTTTTTGTAGTGGAATTTTTTGATAATTTTTTTTTTCTACTTTCCAGACGAACTGGAGCTCTAAAAATTTCAGCACTTGTGTAGTCCTGATGAACGTGTGTTAAAATTGTTTCCAGGGCAGATTCCAGGGGTCTAGGGCAGTGGGGGAGATGTCCCACTTTTCACAAAATACTTTAAAAATATTATTTTCAAAAATTTTTTTAGTTTAGATTTGTTCCTTTTGGTTTTTGATTATTCTGTATTCAATGATCTTTCTTAATTTGTTTTAAGAAAGTAAATGTCTATAAGATTTTTTATTTGCAATTATATGGATTAAAAACATTCATCCATCTAAAATAATTCTTTTAACAGAAATTTACATTGCATAACTACTTGTAAGTGTAAGGCCCAAGTAAGATAAGTAAGAACAAGAACAGGTAATTAAAATACGGTGTAAAATAAACGTTTTGGTAGTGGTTGGATCAAAAATAACGAATTTACACTTGGAAAACTCAAAGTACATATAGACTTAACATTAAGGAAACACTACTTACTTAACATTACAACTTAACATTAAGGAAAGCTTCTATAAGCTTCATCACACCTTGTTACTCGTAAAAAAAATTGACCTTATAAATGTCAAGAACTTTTGCATATTTAAACTGGCACTTTGTGCAATCTTTAGTAAATACAATATGCTTAGCAGGCACAATATCTCCCTTAGAGATTTTCCATTGGGAGAATTTAGCTGTCACTTTCACTATGCACTACTGGTTCATTTTTAGGGCCACATTGCCATCACTCATTATACATTTTATCGTGAAATAATGCTCAGTATTAGGTGACATTTGTTTGTATCAAGTTAGGAGTTGGAACAATTTGGTTCTAAAAACACTAATAATAATTAATAATACAATAGTTAAAAACAATAAATAATACAATAGTTAAAGAACAAACTAATTAATCAAGTTAAACACCATAACACAAAATTAACAAAATTTCACTAGAAAATAGTAAATTACATGTATTTTTTGAAAATTTTGAACCAAAAATGTAAAATTCAATGAAATATTGAATTTAAACGCTCCATAAATATGCAAAATTAAACGTAATTGCGAAAGAAAGTATTTTTTTAAATATTCTTTTCACTAATAAGTATACATATTGTTTGTGCGTGTGTCCAAGAAAGTCAATTTTTATTTTATCTTATTTTAAATTCAAATTTACCAAATTGTAAAACAAAAATAACCAAATTTATTAGTTTTTACTTAAACTATTATGTTATATTTTTTTATTTGTTATGCAGAACCTTTTTAAATTAGCTATAAATTTATTGTTATATATTAATAATATTCATTCATTATATTAATCATCTTACTTAAAGATTTAGCAATGTTTATGTTTAAAAACTATTGCTCTTTGTTTAATTTTCTTAGATTTTTATTTACTTTATGTCATTCAAATCGCTGACACTGTCGTAAGCTATCTGCAAATCAAAGAAAGATTTATTCATCTAGATTAAGTTTGCTCAACAATTTCAG